GGTTTTCAGTCGATGGATGCTCTGCTATTGGTAATTCATTGGCTCACTCATTTGTTTTTTTAACAATCAGTGCTTGTTCAGCTGCATAGTTGCCTAGCCGTTAAGCGGACGTAGGGTCATCTACAGTCTACCTCCAAGTTGTTAGTTACTCGATGGTTATAGTTGCTCATTTCTTTAAAGATGAAACTTTTTGTATTTTTCTGAAATGTATCTCGAAATCAGTTGAAAAATGACTTTCGCACATTAAAGGTGTTGTTTGAGATGTGAGTCTGTGATAGATCCGGTTCTACACTCCATCATCTGGAAAAATATGAAAACATTAATTCGATTTTCAAACATAAACATGCCGAACAAACGGAACATTTGTTTGCTATTGAGCTGAGTAGTATAGTATATACGATTTTATTTATTTATTTTTTTTTGGTAGGTGTGGAAATGCTCCTTATGCACACTCCAGGTTGAAAGGTCTGGAGTAGTGTGGGGCTCTCCCTTACTCGAGTATACCCACTAAAACCCCACCTAAGGCTTCGGCTTCTATGGCCATTTGCCTATTTGCTCAAAATATCACAGACTTCGTTCTAATAGAATATTACATACAGGTAGGTCGACTCACAATACAATATTTTCGATATGACAAAGTTGGTAACTGACAGACAACAATAAATAACAATTAAATAGACAGCCATTATATCACAGTTTGTGCAACATTTCCACACTTTGGAAAAATCCTATCCCCCTTCGACACCGTTCATCGCTGTTAAAGTTACCTTCCCATATCGGGCATATCCCGAAGTTGTCCCGTATATCTTTGTATCGTGGACAGTTACAAAGTATGTGCTCTAGTGTTAAATTAACCTCATAGTTCGCACATAGGGGTCTAGGTTTACCTTCCAGCAAGGCGCTATGGGTTAATGCGGTGTGCCCAAGTCTAATTCGAAACATCTTCACGAATACAAACCGACCCTCGCCAAGAAGAAATAGCGGCCCCAAATCGGGTTTGACCCTTTTCAAAAATGAATCGGACCTCGCCCATAGGTCGCCCCAACGCTCATACCCC